GACAATTATCTTTGAAATTGGATTAGCATGAACATTACCACTTCAAAAAACAAGTTTATAAGTTCAAAACAACTTAGGGTAATGTTCCTAGTCCATTTCTAGCCAAAAACCTCGAAAATATGCTGTCTGGGGGTCCAACTCGTCGAGTGCATGAACCAACTCGGCGAGTTGGATCGATTTGATCACTTTTTAGGCATGGACTCGCCGAGTCTGATGATCAGACAGCAACAATTTCGATTTTTTAAGCAGTTTTGCAAGTATAACAAGAAAACAAGCCTAGGCTCTGATACCACTGTTGGGTTATGAGCATTCTAACACTCCTATGGTGTACATGCAACCCTATAAACCTTGGATCTATGTTTTCTCTATTATACATGCAAATAAGAACTTTCCAAGGCTTTAATCCTAACTAGCATATTATGAAGATCTCATACTACAAAGTACTAGTTAGATGACATACCTTTTGATGTAGCTTGATGTCTTCAAGCTTTAAGAGCTTAGCCCCAATAGTGTGGAAGCCTCAAGTGGAATCACAAATCACCAAAACACCTTGGAAGACTTTAGAGAATATGGATACTTGGTTCTCTCTAGTGAAATCGGCTAGCCCTTTTTAGTGTACCACGCTAGTGCCAATTTCACCAACCAAAGACATCTTTATATAGTGTGGAGGATTCGGGTTAAAACCTAATACCCATGACCTTTCATTTCCTAGGATCCATGGGTTAAACACTCCATGAACTATCCATGAAAGCTTAGCCCAACCTAAATGAACTTGGCCCATTCCATATATATAAGAGTCCATATTTAATTAGTTCCTTTTTGATCACTTAATTAATTATAAATTAATTCTTGATCAATACTAATTAAATAATATGATTCCATAATAATATATTAGAACTTATAATATATTAATATGTAATCATAAACATACTATTCTCAAAAGATTATCCATATAAATTGTGTCCCGTGAAGTGCAACCCAAATGGACCATGCCGGGTCGGGTCAAGTACATACCAAATATAGTTATGGACTTAGACATTAATCCAACAGTTTCATTATCATAATAAGGTATGCATCATACACATAAGAGTTTTCATCACTACAAACATTTATGATAAACTGTAAGAGGTATAGTTTACGGTTCTTTTACACTACGAACTCACTAAAAAAGGTTTCCACTACAAAAAGGGTTTTCATTCACACTACATGTAAACTTGTTGAATCAAATTTGTCAACTAAGTTTTCAAGTACACATTAATGCACCTACCAAGTCCTGTATTAGAACAAGAGTCTTTTGTAGGGAGAGCGTGATACTTGTGTATAGATCTATATTGGGACTAACAATCCCACACCTATGTTGCATGCAACAACTAGACCGGCATGTCCAGGGTGATAAATATCATAACCTTTCCGACGCCCGAAGAACATCGTAACAGACCATCTATGTCATTAGTACGATTATAATAACTCACATAGGGAAACAATGATACATATAGTTTACGGGGAATTTCTACATTCGAACGGTTTTATTCACTTTAAAATTGCATATACTATCATGAGTATGGAATAATAATTGTACATTTGGTCTTGGGTTTTAAGACTACAATTCATTTATCAAGGAAAATATTGGATTTTTCTGGAACAAACACTTCATTTACAAATAAAGGATTTCAACTCTACATACAAAAGCTTATGTACTCACCAACTTAGTTGTTGACACTCTTTCAAAATTACTTGTATTCTCAGGAAATCTTTAGAACAAGTAACTCTCAAGCTTTTGAGGATGGGACGCTAAGGCGTCAGACAATTCATTTTATCATTATATTGTAATCGATTTTGAAACATTGAACTTATGAAACCATGTAACTTTTTCGATTATATTTATGATGGTTGTGTTTATTTTGATCACTATTATACTTGTTGTTACGATACTATACATGAAGTCATCCCACCCCTGAACGTTTCTGCCATCCTGGGTTTGGGGATGTGACAACAGGCCCAACCCGTTACAAAATATATACTATATAAAATAATTACAATTAACACAATCCAATGACCCAACATTATGGTTAAAAATACAATAGATTATTGTCATAAATGTGCTGTGAAAATGTACCGTTTTGTGAACAAATTGATATCAAAATGACAAAATCTGATAAAATTGCTCTTGATAAAAATGTATCAAGTTTTTGCTGATATTTTTTTTTGGCATAAGTTAGCCTTATTAAACCAAAAAAAATTAGATATAGTTCTTTAGTTAGCCTATAATGGTATATTTGTCTAAGATGAAATACATAAACAAACCTTTAACTCTTCCTAAATTCTTGGTATATAGTTGTTATGGGTGATATATGCTGCATACTCGCAATTAAAATCCTTATTTTTCTATAAACATGATTTGAAAATTTTAAATGGCAGGTTGCTGGTAAATATGATAAGCATAAGAAAGGCAAAAGTCGGTGCTAAACAGGTAATTTTAAATGGATGTTTCTTCAACTTTAAAATGGTGACTTATTGCACATTTTTATTACATAAAAGCATATCTTACTATGTGTGCTAATGGTTTCGGTCTCTAATATCTACGTATAAGACACATTTTTTACATTATGCAATTTTAAATCTTTATATCATGAAGATCTTTTCAGTTTTGATATTTCGATTAATTTGTTTATATACAAAAGAATGGGCTGATAAGATTAAGGAAGCAACTCAAATCAAATTGAAAAATAACAACAACAATGAGTCTTTGAGGCTGAGTTAAAGATTCTTTTCTTTGTTTCTAATTTTGTTAGGATAATTTGTTTGCATTTGGTTTCTAATTTCTCTATTTTAATTTGTATGAGATTTTTTTTTTTCATGTTTTAAATTTAGTTTCGCTTGCTAAATGTTTAAGTATTTTCGTTCTACCAAACCTTTTTGACATAGTTTAAAAATCTATAACAAATACATTTCCCATAATATTAGCCAAACTAAAGTACATTGCTATTTATGTAATGATATTTAAGAAAAATGTGTAACTTAGGAGATTTTCTACGGTGTTTATCATTCGTAATCCAGTCACCTCTACAATTACAATTGTTGTAGAAGTTCTCAAGAAAGTTGTATGCAAATTGGTTCGGTAAGATTCGGGAGTTTATAATAATTAGCAAACCCAACAACGACCCATCTGCTCCATGCGAAGCATGGGCACCTTTCTAATTTACCATTGAAGTAAGATTTGTTATTGTTCAAGAAGCGTTACTTTATGTTTGTTTTTTAGCAGCCTAACATCTATGATTCGATCATCTTTTCCGGATGAGAAATAGAAGAAAAACCTACATATCTCGAAACAGACCTTCTAGCAACTCTGACCAATAGGAGTCAAACACAAACACAAAAAAAGTCAACAATATGAAAATACAGACATATACAATTTTTGTGTTTAATTTCAAATTCTCCATCTCAAGAACATGAACACACATAATTTGGATATTTAGATTTCCCTCTCCATTACACTATCAAATCTATAAAACGTTTTGTATCTCAGAAATTGTTTTGATTTCATTTTTGTTTCTTATTTTTTTTTCTTTCAGATTTGGGTTTCCTTCTCTTAAATTGTTTTTTTTTTCAACTCAAAAACATCGAATTATTATGTCAGAAACATCGAATAATTAGGTATGAAATATATAGATAGAAAGATGAGAAAACTGATAGATAATGATGTGATAGTATATGATGCATCTAGAGGGACGGAAGGATAGAAACTAAAGCCTATATCTAGATATATAGGAGGAATTGGGGAATAAATTATATCCACTCTAATAAATGAAGGTTTCTTTTGCCACATATCACATTCTCATTCAATTTGTCAAATGTCATTCTATGGTTATTTTAAATTAACTTTTTTCCATATGTTATTTTATGAGTTTTTTTGTTTTAATAAATTCCACATAATACTTCAATATAATAATTAAAATAAATATAGTAACAAATGAATATCCATTTCAATAATGGACTTACCTTCTTATTTTAAAATTCTCAAATTAAAGTTTATTAATTTAATTTTTTTATTTATTTAAATTTAAAAGATAAAAAATCAATTTTAATAAATAATTATTTTTCTTATTTTCTTATAAATCAAAAGTTCTTAAATATTTAAATCAATATATTTAATTTTTTTTTTAATTAACCCATATATTACATGGATGCTACACCTAGTTTATAATAAACCACAATCTAGAATGAAAATTTCAAACCTTGGGTGAAGAGAGGTTTTGTAAAATTACACAAATATAGGAAATTTTAATAATATGAGATTTTAGAATCATTTTTTTAACAAGAAACGGGTTGAAACGAAATTTAATTCCAAATAATTTAAATCCATTAAAATTCTTCAAACCAAATAATCCCTAAAACTTAGAAGTCGATAGCCCAAGTAAAAAAAAAAAAAGCAGTCGTAGATAACAAGGAAATTGACGACACATACATTAAATCCTTTTTAGAGAGTGTCGTCAGAGAAACCAACACTTACAAGGTTGGATATTCGGTGCATGTTAACAACTTAATTATTATACAATATTGCCTCATCCGTCTTATATATAAACATTTATTTGATTTATTATTCCATCCCATACATATTAATTAACTATCCATTTGGCATCTCTTCATGAAGCACAACTTGGTCAACTTGGTTCCCAACTCGTCTTTTAATATGTAAGACAAAGTTGTTTATTAAGCTACCGGTTAACACGAGACATTCAAATTGATCTTTTACCAATAATGATTGTACAACTATTTACAAATTAATTTTCATGGTATTAATTTGGTAACTCATACAACATTTCTTTAATTTTGCGACTTATTTTCATACGAATTACATTTTTACTATTTTTTAAATTGATAAATACCTTTTGATAGTTTTCACTTTTACAATGCAAACTTTTCTTATGCTTCACCAAGATAAACGGAGTGGTAGGTCTGCATATATGAGGTAGCTGTTGTCATTTACTTAAACATTAAAGGGCATTCATGGTTATTGTTTTGTATAAATATAGTAGCTTCTTCTACATGTATGCATCAATATAATTCAATGGAGGAAAGTAATCAAATAATGCTTCTTGGCACAGCTGCAAGCCCATATGTCAACAGGGTTCAGTTCGTCCTCAACCTCAAATCTATCAAATACGAGTTCATTGAGGAAAATCTTGCATGCAAAAGTGATCTCCTCTTGGCATCAAACCCAGTTCTAAAAAAGGTCCCTGTTCTTTTACAAGCAAACAAACCACCACTTTGTGAATCTCTTATCATAATCGATTACTTAGAGGAAATCTACCCCAATGTCCACAAACTCCTCCCATCCGATCCTTTAGATCGAGCTATTATCCGATTTTGGGCCAATTACATGGATAACGAGGTATGTTGTAGATCGGGTGATTTCAATTTCAAAAACATTCCTTAAATTATAACAAACAAATATTGTACTTAAAAATGTCTACAATTCTAGAAGTTTTTATAGTTATATTAACGAGTCCTTGAATATAATTAAAAAGATTTGTCCGACAAATGATAGATTTGTAGATCTAAAATAATGTGACTAAATTCTACACTTTGAACAAATTCTTGAATATACTAAAAAATATATGTCGGATAAATGATAGTTTTGTAGATCTAAAATAATGGGATTATTCTTAGACCAACCCACATATGTTTATACCAACCTCATAACAACATAATGTCTTACTAAAATATTATGGACGTGTTCGGCAAAACTAGCTTGTAGCGGTTAGCGGGTAGTTGATAACGGGTAGCGTTTGATTTTGGAGAGTTTTGTCGAAAGCTACTCCATGTAGCTTTTGATTTTTAAGCGTTTTGTTTAGGTTAAAAATTAAACGCTCCTATCGCTGAATGAAGTATTTTTTTTGCTAATGTTTTCTTAAAAGCTAGAAAGCACAAGCTCTCAAACGTTGCATGCCGAACATGCCCTATTTTCGCTATGCCCCACCTACACAACTAATTTTAGCAATGGATCTCAATTTTTTACCATTTATCAACAATACAACCAAATATATAATATTATTCTTTTCCATTTAATTTAATTATCTAGATATTTATATAAAATTTGATATCTAAAAAATAATAAAATATATACTTTATATGTATATTTTAAGAAAGTAATGTTTATTTTTTCTATTTTATCGTTATAAGTGAAATAAAATGTGAATTCTATTAAAGGAAACAAATGGAATTATAAAATGATGCAAAAATAGAAAAATTACACATATAAAAGATTCAAATTACATAACTAATTGTCATCATCAACTTTTTGGTGTCCAAAATCTTCAAACATATTTCTACAAATATCATGTAAGGTTTACTCGCTCTTTTCCAAAATTATTATTTATTGACAAAAAAACACACAAATTAAGGAAGTATCAATTACCACAAACTTTATACAATAAAATAATAGTTTTGTCTTTATTTTGCATTTAATATTCCATTAAATCCTTAGTTAGTTAAGTAATAATAAGGGGTGTTTTGGTAAAAATGTTATTTATTTTTAGAAGTATACTATTATTTTGGTACAAACCAAAAAGGAAATATAGACTAAAATTTTGAAACAGAGGGAGTATTAATTAGGTTTACTAATTGACTCAGTTTTCTTGAAAGAAGATTTTGAAAAATCTCTATAAAAATAAGTGTTTGGAACTATATATATTTATAAATCATCTTTAAGAAGTAGATGGGAGCTATAAATATGTGGGAAAATAACATAAAAGCCCTTAAGTTTTCATAAAATTGTTGGTTTTACCCTTTGACGTGTTTTAGGTCCAGTAAAGCCCGAAGTTTTATTTAATTTGTTCATTTTTACCCTTGTAGCTGGTTTTCAGGTAACTTACCGATTACCTAATTTCAGTAAAGCCCTTGAATTTTTAAAAATGTTCAGATTTACCCTTAAGTTTTTCATAAATGTTCGGATTTACCCTTAAGTTTTTCAAAAATGTTCGGATTTACCCTTACGTTGATTTTTATTTTGAATATTATTATTATTATTATTATTATTATTATTATTATTATTATTATTATTATTATTATTATTATTATTACATATTTTTAATACATTTTAATGTATAAAAATATTTTATACATAAATTTTTAAATGTATACAATTATTTTTATTAATATAAATATATTTTTAAAAATATATATACTTGTATTTAGTATTTATATACATTTGAATTCTCATGTATTCCATTAAAAACGTATTTATATATTAAAAAAGTATTTATTTGTATATAGTAGGTATTAATATATATTTATTTCATATAAAATATATTATATAGATATAAATATAAAATACATATTTATATGGATTATATTGTATAAAAGATATATTTATATGTATTGGTACATATTACTAACTATAAATATGTTTTTATTTCATAACTACTTGCATAAGATATTTTATACAAATGTAACACATATTTATATCTATTAAATGTAAATGAATATGTATTTATACATTTCCAAACATATTTATATGTATTAAATACAAATAAAAAGTGTATTTATACATTTAAAGACATATTTATACATTTAAAAATATTTTTATTTGTATTTAATAGATATAAATATGTATTTCCTCTATATAAAAACTATAGTATGCATATAATTATGAAATAAATACATATTTATACTTGGTTATATGTACAAATACATCTAATTATATCTTGTATATAATATAAACCATATAAATATGCATTTTTATATTTATATGCATATAATATATTTTTACATGAAATAAATATATATTTATACCTACTAAATACAAATATGTATATAAATGCTAAATACAAGTATATATATTTTTAAAAGTATATTTATATTAGTAAAAATATTTTTATACATTTAAAAATGTATGTCTAAAATATTTTTATACATTTAAAAATGTAATAATAATAATAACAATAATAATATAATAATAATGAAAATAAAAATCAATGGAAGAGTAAATTCGAACATTTTTAAAAAATTTAAGGGTAAATCCGAACATTTTTGAAAATTCAAGGGCTTTACTAGCATTAGGTAACCGATAGGTTACCTGGAAACCGACTATAAGGGTAAAAATGAACAAATTAAACAAAACTTCAGGTTTTACAGGACCTAAAACACGTTCAAGGGTAAAACCGATATTGTTGTTGAAAACTTAAAGGCTTTTATATCATTTTCCCTAAATATGTCGAAAATTGTGGGTTGCTTTTATATTAAACATCGAATTGAAGTTTGCTTATAATACGGTATCGTAAAAATATATTATATGTATAATCTGCTTGACTTACATATATATGCCCAAAACGTCTTTGAAGGTTTTACCTTTATATGAAAAGCTGAGGTGTACACCTCACAAAGAAGGAAAAGAAGCAATAATAAAGCAGATTATTGAAGAATCAAGTTTGATAGAAAAAACACATATCAAGTTTAGTAATGGTAAGTCTTATTTCGGTGGAGAAGATGTGGGCTATTTGGATGTTGTTTTTGGAAGTTTCATAGGTTGGACAAGATTTGTTGAGAAGCATTACAATTTCAAGATATTCGATCTAGTTAGGACACCAAATCTTGTAGAATGGGCAGAACGTATGACATCACATGAAGTCATTAAAGACGTGATCCCAAGGGAGGAAACACTCATGAATTTCTATATGATGATTCAAGAACACAAACAACCAAGAGTTGTTTGAAGCTATATTAGGGACACACTCGTGAACTTATATCTGATGCTTCAAAGTGTTTGTTTAATTTGTAACTGGATTTTATGTCTATTTGTTATTTAAGTATTATATATATGTAAGGTCATTGTATTTCCTTTTAGTTTCACCTATGCATCACGTTATGGTACAAATGTCAACAATCTTTACTTCGGTATTGTAAGTTTTGTATTATGACTATCATAAATGTTTGAATTTCGTGCTTAAATAATTATAATTCTCTAAACTCATCGGTTTTGCTATACATAAAATATAATTAAAATGTGATAAAGTGGTGTAATCGGTAGCCACATAATTGTGTCAAATTCTTACAAAAATCTATATATATATATATATATATATATATATATATATATATATATATATATATATATATATATATATATATATATATATATATATATATATATATATATATATATATATATATATATATATATTAAGGAACTGAACAAAACCTAACCAGGGTACTGTTCATCAGGTTATCTTAATTTTACATGGGTTAGTCCACCGCCTCAACTGCATGGATAGCTTTAATCCTCATATTCACCACTTTAATCGATCATCAGTTTAATCGACTGAAGCATGACCATCGCTCCTCTAAATCCCTCTCAAAACGTAAATCTCCGTCACGCGTCGATGCTTCCTCCATATTTAGATGTGCTCCACAAAGTTTTTTCTTATTTTCAAGGGTTGGCTTTTGTGCTGACTGCAGCTGCCGTTCGGTGAGCACCACCGTCAAACCACTCTTTGAGGATGGTGCGACACTTGAAATGCTAGAGAAGAAAGAAAAAGTGCTTCTGAAGAAATCTAATGCAAAGGTTGAACAGGCAAAGGAGTTCCCTAGAGCGAAAAACAAAAGAGGTATTAATATTTAAACTTATTATTCTGTGTACTCATAATCTCTTATTTATTGTTTGCAAAGTCAATTTATACTAAATATGTTGTTTCTCATTATGGAATTATTCAGCTGCAGTACATAGTGTTTGAAGCGAAAAATACTTTATGAACAACAAATTCAATAGCTTGGCAATTTTCAATTCCGTATTCATGATCAGGTGGCTTTAAAATTTTGTATCATTAAACTATTAGCAATTTTACTTTATGTTTTATATTTTCACTAAAAGTTATTTTTAATATTTGATATTTGTCTATGTACACCAAAATTTGGATCCTATTTGATGTCTATGGACTTTGAGAACCTCGATTCTTTATGCCTACGTGAATGAATATGTGTTGAACTATGTTTCTATTTACTTTTATGAGAAGCACGAAACATCTGATATGAAGTTGCTTCAAATTAGATCCTAATTATTGATAACATGATTTTTAAAGCATCTATTTTACATTAGATTTTATGTTTTGTTGCTGAAATTCTTAGAATCAAATTTTGAGACTTATTCGTTTTTGATGTATTTTCAGGTGGATTTGTTACTCCTGTTCCACATTATGCACTTTCATCAAGGAGTTGATTCAAACGGGTTGTTGCAGTTGGTTGGTTTGAGGTAATTATAGAGGCAAACTCATTTATGTTAAACTTTTACTTGTGAAACGTACTTTTTTTTTCTATCTAAAAAGAATTAATTTTAGTGATACCGGTGTTGTTTTATATTATAAATCTTTATTTCTTTTTAAATGCTTATGATCATATGTAATCTAAAGGTTTTTATGTTTATCGAACTCCGATACTAATATAAAGGTTAAAAAAAACAAGGATTATAGTGTGTATATGTTTTTATCCTTTGACTTTAACCAGATAAAAAATGTTTATGTTGTCTTATATCTCCGAACAAAAAACTTACTATAACTTTTGATGTTGTAAATAGAATTTGTTATATTGTGTATTGTGTATATTACTTAATAACAGTTAACAATAAAGATTACAAAGAGTTTTATTCGTTGGACATATTAATGGTTATAAATATTAAATAATTTTAAATAATTTTAAATAATAGAAAATACATAATTAAAAACTACAATGCAAAACATAAAATTGATTTAAAAATATTCATTTTGAGTGTGTTTTTTTTACCAAAAACTTCTTATTGAAACTTGAAAATCACAGACTTGCATCCTATCATTACAAACTAACTTTTTTTTAAATGTTTTTTAGTTGTTTGATAAATATATAATCAATATATTATGTTTATTTTTCATCATACTATTTAATTGTTTCATTTTAATATCTTTTTAGATATTTATTATTATTTTGTTAATATATTGATGATACTTATATTATATTACAACGATTATTATTATATTATACATATATTAATAGTCATTAACGTTTCATATGTTTTTAAACCTAATAACTTTTTTATACTTCTTTTAAAATTTGTTTAATATTAAAAGAAATTTAATATATATTATTTTTTGAAATTAAAATACATATATACACGTTTTTATAATATGCTTTAAACTAAAATTAATACCTTGCTATTTTATTTTTATTACTGTATTATATTAAATAAACTTAAATTTGTTATTAGCATGTTTAGATGTTTGTTTATATTTTTAATATAATGATAACAAAGTAAATAATAAATAAAATGTTAACTACATCATATCATATTGGTTAATACAAATATCTATTTTTGAATTAAGGTGAAGTTAAAACATATACACTCCAGAGTTATTCATACAACGTAAACTTTTTGTAAAAATATCCATTCGCTAACTATACGAACTTATTCTATTATAATTAAACTAATAGACATTCGAGACTTACTCATACAACATAAACATTCTAAATAGTATTTTGGATTTTTATAAAATGGTTGTATATATTTTATAATAAAATTAATATTATATTTTTATAAGGACATCAATAGAAAACAAAAAACAATATTTAACGCATTTATATAAATATTATATTTTCGAAAAAAATATAAATATAAATATATTTTTAATATTATATTTTCGAACAAAATATAAACAAAAAACAATATTTAATATTATATTTTCGAACAAAATATAAATATATTTTTAATCCAAAACAGAATATTTATATATTAAAACAAAAAACAAGTTATTTTTATTTTTAATCCAAAAAATTAAATTTAACTAAAATAACTATATAGTTGTATTTTTAACTCAAAATAATCGATGTAAATTACATGTATATCGTAATAAAAAACTATATTTTTTTTGTTATTTTATTAGTATTATTTATTTATTATTATAATTAGTTTTATAAGTAAGTCTAATGGGAAAAAAAGAAAGTCATGTAATCATTGTTGTATAGATCGCTCATTGCTTTTGGTCGTTAATATGATTCACTCTTTATTTATTTTTAAAATGTTCCAACCATTGTTACAAATTATCACATTACCATCTAAGTTTCCACAACTTCCGAAAACACAACAAAATATTAAGATCGATTCACCCCTTATAAAAATCAAATAAACGTAATTATATTTGTTGCACTACCCCACCCCCTTAAACCTTAAAACCTAAAGATAACTATCTGTAACATTCAAAAAGGAAACTAAATGTTGTTTAGAACTATTCATCATAGTGAAACTAATTGTCGTAAAATTATTTGTCAAATTGAAACTAGTTGTCATAAAATATAGTCTAATTTGACAAAAGATAACTAATATAATTGACTGGATTTAGCTCAACTCAAAACATGAACATCAAAATCCATAAAAGTGGAACCGAACAAAAAACCTAAACCGAACCGAAACGACCTAAATTCGAATAAAAGAAGAAAATGAAAAGAGTATGTAGACCAATCTGTTGGATTAGGTGTCTAAGCCCATAACTATAATTGGTATGTACTTGAATTGATACCAGCACAGTCCTTTTGGGTTGCCCTCAAACCTAGCAACCGGACAAGGAAATTATGAAATGAGAGATATTAATTTATTATAAGATTAATAAATTAATATAAATGAATTAATATGTTAAAAGATTAATATATTAATAAGAAATCATTTGGTTTAATTAGTTGTTAGCCAGAAATTAATTAGAATTAATTTTGGGGTTAAAAGAATTAATTATAAGGTGCAGGGACTAGTTTGCAATTATCTAATAGTTGAGTGGAAGGCTCTAGAACCCCCTTGGATAAGGGTGGACGAAATCTTTAGGGGAAAACCTAATAATTTCGTCCATAGGGGCTTGGATAAGGCCCTTGGGTTTGCTTAGGCCCTAAGCAAAGGATAACTAGGGTTTTCCTAAACCCTAGATCCCTCAGCTATATAAGGAGCCTCCTGGTTCATGTTTTGGTCACTCTTTTCTTTAGAAGAAACCCTAAGGGCCGAAATTTTGCATACTCCCTCTTCCCTCTCTCCTCTAATTTCCTTCTTGCTAGTTTGGGTGTGATTCCATTAGAGGCATTACACTTGTGGTGCTAAGCTTCCAAGAAGATCAAGATCAAGATCAAGATCAAGGGAATCATCAATTGTTTACTATAACAATTGAAAGGTATGTAATTACTAAACCCTAGTTTGTAGATTTCGATTATAGCCTCTCTCCTCTAGGGTTCTTGTTTTGCAATTCAAAGTTGTATGTTCAATAGATAAAACATAGATCCAAAGTAGGTTGCATGTGAACTTAGGAATTGTTTTCTAGTTTATTTGTTTTACATAAAACCCATCAGTGGTATCAGAGCCTTTGTTTGTTTTAAATTGAATTGTTATAATTGTTGAATTGCAAATTAGGGTTTATAGCTATTAAACCCTAAAGGCCATTTTTCGATTTTAGGGTTGTGGATCAAAGGGTTTTTGAAAACCCTAGCCTCCAAAGAACCCTAATCGAAATTAGGGTTAGGGTTTTGAAAAACCCTAGCCTCCTCCCTTGGAAATTTCGAAATATGCTATAAAAAGATTAGGGTTTCTTTGTTTTGGATAATAGTTGCCTTATTGGATAATTGAGAAAAATAAGGAAATTATCTTATCCCTATATTTTCGAAATCTAGAAGGGATATGGATTAGGATTAAATTAATTGTTTAATTTAGTTAGATAATCCTTAGAAGATTTAATAAATTAATTAAAAGTTAATTAATAGATAAATATTAAATCTAATTAATTGGTTTATTTAAATTTAAAATTTAATAGTTTAAATTTCGAAAAATTTATATAAACCCTTGGAGTTTTAAAATGTTTTAAAATACATCTTATATTTATTATAATTAAAAGTTAAATATTATATATGTATAAGAATATGGTCAGTCAAATCGCTAGTATGCCTCATTCACGAAGCTAGTCTATAAGGGGGGTATAAGGAAACTGCCTATAAAATGGTAGTTGAATGGGTGTCCACTCTCACCCACCGCTTCCTTGATTAGTGGAGGGTCGTTAGCAGAACGGATTTGATAGGACAACTACTCCTCATTAAAAGTATAATGCTATTAAAGAAAGTACTAGAACACTATTTTTCAAAATCCCAACTCTAGTTACATTAGGAAAAATGTGAAAAGTATGCTAATCCATGAAATTGCACATTATGCTTTATTGGTCGTTAGTGGAGCGTGTGTGGTTAACCGGCACACTAAAAGGAACTAATAAAGAGTAGTAATGGGTATCTTATAATTATCATTTTGATGGAGCGTGTGTGGTTTACCGGCACATCAATAGTTAATGATAAAGACAATAAGGTTACCAAGCACATTTGCATGGTTATTCACATCTAGTTTGTGATCCTCGGTATCCCAGTCACAAATAGTAGAGCATAATCCGAGATTAAAACATGCCATTAAATAGTTTTAATGTATCTCAAAAGAATTAGGAATTTCACTTCGTTTATTTTGTCTAATGGTGAAATTGGTGAATCGTCATTCACCTACCTTTATAAGATTTGAACTTGGATCTCGGCATCCCATTTCTAAGTTGTAAATCGTCATAGTTGGGTCCTAACCTTGATATGATATCTTTGGGTTATTATATTGAGGTGTCTTGGAATCTAACTAAAACTATCTTTCTTTTCAGATGTCTACTCCTGGAAACACTTCTGCTTCATCATCCTCCAGCCACAACTTCTCTCTACT